GCTTGCCCTTTGCGATTCGTGTCCCACGACCAGGCGGTCATTTGGGACAGCAGAGGGGGCGAAACTGTGTCGAGACAGAATTTCCTTTAGAAAAACTTGAAACTTTCAAATCTTTCATGTTGAGGGAACCCTATCTGCAGATGGGAGCAGAAGGGAAACTGCGTTTGCTCTAGATGTTCTCCAGAGTAAAAAATCGGTCACTATACTCGTAGATTTTTGAAAGAAACAATTGGGCTCTGGCATTAAAAAGTTGAGGTGCACGAGGTGTTATACACCCCATGAGTGCTCCTGCGTAGAAAGGTTTTGAGGCGCTGAAATGCGCCTAATCGCTTAGATCTATGGGCACTTTAACTGAAGCGAGGAGACGCTTTCCTTACGGCGCCCTGATGACTTTCTCTGTACGTCAAGCACTTAGCAAATCTACCCTTTTCCCTGCTTTGCTTAGGCAAAAGTCGCCGCGGGTGTATCGCTCGCAGCGCCCCTAGATGGTCTTTGAATATTAGAGGAAAGACACGTAAAGTCTCCATCTTATCCAGGATTTCTGAAAAAGTATAGAGGTTTTCCTCCGCTAACAAAAAGGGTTGAAACAGAGATGAGAATGAGTAGGCTCTTGTACTCAAAGCCCCTGGGAGAAGTCCAAAGAAATTGGACCTTGGCATTTGAGAAAAGAATGGCAGCTTGACGTATAGAAGCTGAAAGACTGGAAGCAATGGGCTCTTTGGTTGAAGTAGGCAAGACACCTGTCCCCGTGTCGTTAGCGGACGACTTGCATACAAAGTTATGCGCGGTTGAAGGCGTCATGAAGGTGAGTCCGCACGCAGTAGAATGCAGCGTTACGGTTGTGATCTCCCTAGACCTTTGCCTTCTAGGAAAGTTTTGGAGGAGTACTCAAGTATTTGGTTCAACCCATGGAAAATATTTGGGCACACATGGGATCTGAGGTAGGGCGAGAAATGGGAATCATGACAGGGCGCTACTTCGGCAGAATCCTCAAGGGGGGGGGAGGAGAACTTTCGGCACCCCTGCCGCATGCATTGGCTACAGCAGATTTGGGCAGACGAGGAATGGGCATCTGAAACATAGCGCTCCCATTTAAAAAAGTCTTGGAGGGGAAGGGAATTGGGTTTTTTGACGAAGAACACCAAGGGAAGAATTGGGCACAAAAAACGAACTCTTAAGTAGTAGAATAAAGAGCGAGTAAGGGTGATCGTGTGACAGGGCGAAGACTTAGGGCCGTATGCACTAACATCCTCGCGGGGAGGAGATCGCAGCTTGAAAGAAAGCTTTATAATTCGAAACTCTAGATACCTGGATTTCACGTTGTGTACCTATCCATGAGTAGTCATACTATCCTTCACTATGAACAAGTTGAAGAGGAGCGAGAAGCTGTACAAACCGCATTTTCCAGCTTTTGTATGATCCCTGATGATCCCCGGCTCTTTTCTTTAAAGTCATTTTTCTTTCTCCGAAGTCAACGAAAAACCTCCAGAGTTGTGCAGATTATCTAACCCGACAGTGCTAAGCATGTTGCTGATAAGAACAAATGATATTTTGAAGTCATGAAATTTTCGATGATCCACAGGTCGAAATTTGAGGTTTACCGAAAAATTCGACTTTTCAAAAACTCATTTGTTCTCATCAGCAACATGCTTAGTACTGCTGTGTTAGATGTTCAGTACAACTTTCGAAGGTTTTCGTTAACTTCGGAGAAAGAAAAATGACTTTAAAGAAAAGCGCCGGGGATCACTAGGGATCATACAAAAGCTGGAAAATGCGGTTCGTACAGCTTCTCGCTCCTGATCAACATGTTCATAGTGAAGGGTAGTAGGAATACTTACGGATAGGTACACAACGTGAAATCCAGGTATCTGGAGTTTAAAATAATACAGCTTTCTTTTAAGCTGCGATCCTCTCCCCAGCGGGGAGGTTAGTGCATGCGGCCCTTAGGAAGATTTCCGAGGGTGCGGGGAAGAAATTGACACGGGAAGGGGAGGGGAACTTTTGGCATCCCTGCCATACAAAGATCGGGAATAGAATTTGGTGCTTCTGCATGCACTGCCTACAGCAGCTTTGGGTGAGGAGATGGCACCGTGCAACTCAGCGCTCCTATCCGAAAAAGTTATGGGGTGAAATTCACGGGAGAAAATCCACCGAGAATGATATGGGCTCCAATATGGGCTCAAACGTGGAAAGAGGTAGTAAGATAGAGAGAGCGAGAAAGAATGGGGCCGTGTGATTGGGCACCTGCGGGATAATTCTGTTGAGAGGAACTCTGGTACTGGACGTAAAATCTGTGGAATGCATTTTGGTGCGCATTGGCTACAGCAGTTTGGGCAGGAGAAAGAATGAGCACTATGGAACTCAGCGCTCCTTTGGAGAAGTTCTGGAGGAGGCTGTAGGTAATTTGACCAAAACCGGAGGAAAGTCTGGTTCCAACATGGAACTCTGAGATATTAGAATAGGAAGTGAGAAAACTTGGGCGGGTTAACTCAGAACACCTACGAGAAGGGATTTTTAGTGGGAATGATGTTGGATAATTTCGTCCTGAAAACATCAGAAAAACTGATTTGCGCACTGTTTCTTTTTTCAAATCAAAATTTCACTGTCCAAGTGCATTAAGTAAAATGCAAACCGTGAATCTGAGCGCTCCTCGGCATGCAACACACAAGGTCCCCTGGTTCACTAGTGTAGAGGACAAACTTTGGAACATCTTCCACAGTTTGACGTCTGCTCAGGTTACTTCGAGAAGACAAAGCGTATAGACTGGCTCCTACAATTGATAATCCATGTCGAAATACCTTGCGTGAAATCTATCTTCACATAGTCAGACGTATACAACTAGGAGCAGACCTTACCTGCTTCAAACCTACTGTCAGATAGGTTTTATTTAAGCAAGGTCTACTTGTAAGCAACATCCGAATCTTTTACTAAGCACACAAGCCAAAAGGAACATTAAAGATTCGCGGATCACTCATCTGAATGATGTGGGACCCAAAGATATTATGTAAGAATGGCTACTTTAAACTTTAGGTGATTTGAAATGTGTATTTGATGCATAAAGCTTTCCAAGCTTCTAGCTCGTATATCTCGCTATTCGATTCAGCAACATATTTTTCGGGTTTTAGTAAACTGTAGCAAGTTCGTAATGGATTGATATAGGACGCTCAATTTTTCTCAGTTTTCACATAGCGAGTACGGACTCTGTCGTTGGTATTACATGTCCGTACCTGTTTACCGTAAGCTCTGCGATCAACTCAGTGGGTGGCCGCCTACGTGCATTTAGGAAAGGTGGCAAGCCTTGAGAGGATGATGACACGCCGCCAACTCTGGAGCAAATTCACATTTACTACGAATTTGAGTTATTTAGACAGTTCCTGATTATGCTGGTAGCAGAAAAATGCCTATAACTTTGTTCACTAAACCGATAAGCAGATGGCGGTTGGGCAGGAGGCAGCAAAGGCCCTGCCGCTTCTGCTTATGGAACTACCTGAGGCTTCAGAGCTCCTCGCACTTCTAATTAGGTACTTCTTCGCACCTCTAAATATCTATTCGAAATGACCTATGCCCAATCGTTCATACACTTTTTGAGCGTGGTAAATGGCGACATATGGGTTTCATGTTTCATATTCGAAACGAATGAAGTAAGTTTCAAAAAAGGCTCTTAGAATTAGCCTAATTCAACGTCGAAGGCGGTATAAACCCGAATTTTCAGTAGATATGGAGGTATAACTTGGTCTGTCAAATCTTCAAGCCGGAATTTTGAACATATTCTTGCAAACCTTTCTCGTCTCAATATTTCCGATAGAAAACAAGGACTTCAAAGACTGATAGCCAAGTTCTTTATTTTGCGGCAGGCTTATTCCTTTCTACTCCACGAATTCTGAAGAAAAAAACTGCTCTGAACCCGATACTCTGTGGGCCGAAACCGATTATAGCTGAGATTGAAAGAGACTGCAAGATTTCCGAATTGATTTGGAGCAAAATATTCTTCAAGAATATTTCTGTTTGGTTCTCTTGCTTCTAAACTAATCAAAGGTGCGAAGAATGATTAGAGGCGCGAGAAAGTCTGGAGCTCCCCAGGTATTTCCAGAGGCAAATGCGGCCAGCCTTTGCTGCCTCCTGCCTGACGTCCTAAGCAGATAGAGAAGACTGTTTAGAAATCAACAATTAAAGACCTTTCGTATATGGATCTCATTAAAAAAGTCCACTTCGAGTCAATTACCTTCCCTTGTACGACACATCAACTGAAAACCAAGAGGGAGAGGGGGGGGGGGGGGGGAGAAATCTATTTAAATGCCGACAACGCATGTAAACCTCAAATAGCGTTGAGATATTTCTCAATAAAACCGCTTCACAAATTTACCAGTACAAGTGGTCATCATTAACGTACCTGTGTTGAAGTGACAGGGACTCAGGCGGCGTTGAGAAAGCCGTAAATCGTGCGCGAACGTCTGCGTCTCTACGCGGACGCCCTATCTACATGATGCAATCGATGATTGGCGAGAAGCCAAAGTGAGCGGGTCACCTTCAAGAACAATAAAGCAGAGAAACCGCCGATAAACTTGCTGGGCAAAAATAAAGCTTTGGGTTGAAGGAAAGCCATTCGAAGTGGGAAAGAGATCTGACTATTTGCCGCTTTCAACACTCAGTGGAAACATTACGGGTACGGGCCATATCGTACACGCAGTGCTTCCACCGAGAATCTCCAGCGAGAACAAGAACGCTGCATTTATTGCAAGAGAATAAAGGTGAGGAATTGAAAAAAAAACCACAACGGTAGACTCGGCGGAAACTCATACGGGTATGACACTACTCAACACAACCGAATAACTTCCACCGAGTCCACCAAATGCAGGATCACAACTGCTAACAAAATGGAAGCGTACCTATCTCGGACTATGAAGATTACGGGTACAATCTTAATATGCACCTGTCATCTCATAATCGGAGTTAGAATCCAGCTAAATTGAGCCTCAAGTGCAATGAAAGCCAAAACTCACGACAATTGAAGAGCATCACCAAGAGCAGTGCACAACAGGGCGCTTTGGGACCAATAAATGAAGAGTTAATAGAACCGACTTAGATTGCGACTGCAACCTACCTCAACACGCTCAGCAGACAAATGAGTCCGCATTCATTGATCGCTGCATCACGTGAGCGTGAGCAGCAGGCGTAATCGCTGTAGGACCACACAACACGTGAGTTCTGTAGCGACTACAAATCTGCAAATTCGGAGTAAATTAGTTTTTTTCCAAGACTGATGGCCATGTTTTGAAAGCAGTACTTACGTAATTGGATTGAAAATATGTTGTCGTTTCTTGGTAATTTTGACAAATCTTGATTTATATCATTCTTGCACTGAAAAGTTAACTAAGATGTAGGTGAGATAAGGCTCACTGCTTTTATTTACGTGCACATGGTTAAAACACAGCATGACCTAGGTAAGCATTGTGTTACCGGTGCTGTTGAAAGCGATTGAAAGATTCTTCCGGACTGAGTTTGGGTGGGATTATGCTTCGTTTTTGCGTAAAAAGCAAAAGGCGGATACAGTTGGGCATTTATCGATTCATCTTTGGGTGTTCGTGCAAAATGCAGTCGCACTTCGTAGCGTCCTCAACTCTGCGGGTGCAAGCAAGCTGATATCGTAAGGATCCAAATGGAAAGGAATCCGTGCTATAAAATCATATTAGTTTCGAAAGATGCGCCAAAATGCTTGTAGATGGCAGGTAGGCGCAGTTAAAGGCAGTGTCCACGCAAATCTGGACATTTGGGAATTCGCATGATAAGCCAATGCCCAACCGGCAGCTCGGTTAGTGCTCTAACGGCTGAGATATCCCCCTCGAAACTGGACCCTAGGATCGTATTTCACATGGGATGGCGCAATCCCATCAGTTGCGCGTGGGTTCTCACGCGAAACCGATGAGTTTAGCCATGAATCCATGCGAACGCCCTGACCGTCTTTTAGCACTTTCGTGCATCAATTTATCATGTGTAAACGAAAAGTTCTCAGGTAGTTTCTGTGCAGTGCTCTGGTAGCCTGGTTGTCATATAGAACGCATGGCATTGCGGTAGCTGTTAAACAGTCTAAACTGCAGCCGTACATCATCAGTCCATTTTAATGTGGTCAAAAATGGCTCGGTCGTCAACGTGTTAACACGTTGACGACGAGCCATTTTTTTTAGGTCTGTCCCTGTAGACGAGACGTTTCCATGCATATCTACGCGTGGCCCATGTATGTATGCGTGCATCCATGCACGAAGCACAAAATGTGCAAGCCCCGCCCCCTCTGGCAAGCTCCGTCCACTGGACCAAAAATGTCGGAAATTGCCCAAATGTCAAGTACTTATGCGATTTTCGCCACTTTTAAAAAGTGGACGGAGCTTGCCACTTAGGGGGCGGGGTTTGCCTGACGGTGGGCGGGGCGTGGCTAAACGTTGCTTGAGGCCTTTGCGTTCATCTACAGCCTCATCTGTGCTTTTTATGGACAAAAAGGGTCCTTGTGAGAGGCATAGGAGTGGGTGGGGTGTGCTAGAAGGGGCGGGGCTATATAAAACACATCTGAGCCTATGTTGATTATATGAACACAAACTGAGAGGAGTGGATAAGTGTTGAAGTTAAGGCCGCCGCGCACCATTGCGCGGCACTGTCGTCAACGTGTTAAGAGATGAGGCGAAACTGAGTGGCGAAACTCGGGCGAAGGCAATGGCGAATTACACCATCTTATATTTAACATCTGGTTTTGAATGTCGCAAATATTCTGGCCACACATTGCGAGACCGCATCGTATTTGAGGCTCGTAATACATTGAAAATTCTTTCCTGAGCACAGATTTTACAAGGCGAAGAATAGCACAACTTGACAGCCTTCTATGGACACCTCCACCCAAGCTGAGGTTTAAGACTTTGACGCTTTATAATAGCGGAGCTCCGAAACAGATAGCCGCACAAGTCTCGCTGCATAAAACGAAATCCGAAGCGAGAGAATCACTCCAGAAGCTGAAAACGGCCAATGTGACTCCTTCAATCTACGTGTGTGGTCTCCAGTCAACAAGTCCCGTAAGTCCCATAAGTCCCACAACCTGCGCCAGTTCTCCGCTTTCACCCGAATAGCTCCCATTTCTTGGTCCTCAATCTATTCGACGATATGGACCGCCGGTCAACTCTTGCAGACTCACATCCTTCCCAGGTTCTGCAATTTTTCAGATTTTATTGCACTCGGGGCAGTCTACGGGGCTCTTGGGTCCTGTATAAGGCGTCATCCAAAAGAATGTTTACGTTATTTACAAAACAACCTTACATCTTTTGAATAATCCAAAAACGCCAAAAGCGTTGTGCCATATCGCGGGGTCCAGCGCCGCCCAAAATTAGGCGTCGTCGTCAATGGTTAAAAAGCACGGGATAGCTTTCGATAGAGCAAAACAAGCTTCACAAAATGATGTCATAAATTTCGCGAGTTCATTCCATATTGAGTACAAAACTCTTGGAAATTTAAAAACTTGAAAAAATCGTATAAATAGCAACGCGTTAGGAGCACTTTTTGCACCGCCCGTTTTTGTTACGAGAGCCTGGACACCGTACCCCAACCTCGCCCTCACCTTCTTTATCACTTCTTACTTTGAAACAGAAAAAGAAAAGGAGTTGAGGCACATAACCTCAAGGTTGCAATGCATTCCTCATGGCCCAGTAGCTAGTGGCGATCTCAGATGCCAGACCCGGTTTCGGTTCCACGTTTGAGATGTGTTTTTTGCCGTTAAAGTTGGAAGCCCTTACAAAACAGCTGACTTCTCCATCTATCATTCTATTAGGTTGTCCCGAAAGTTTTGTCCGTTTTTCTCATCGCTCACTAAAACTCACAAAACACCAATCCATGGACGACTTAGATACCACTTGATACAGATCTTCATCCTCTCTCTTAAGCTATATTTGCCCTCTGATCTACCCTGTTTTTGCAATGTTATCGCCATGGCTTTTTGAGCAGTTCAGCAGTAACGTCAAATCTCTCCTGAGTTTAAATTTCTTATCCTGATCTTTTTGAAGAGCGCTGATAACCGTTATGTAGGGCAAACCTTTGGCTACATTCTATCCATCTCGGATTACATGAGCCACGTTTACTAAGTCCGTCATAATTATTTATTTGATAAAAACGGCGATTTTTGATTAGGTTTACCACGTACAAATACGAAAATTCCAAAAAGCTGCTTTTTCAAACAAATCGAACTTGGTTATCCTTCATATATAATGTTCAATAAGAATCATGTTTCATTTCGCAGAAACTCCATCAGCTTTCGTGCATTTGTTGCAGTTGCGTGTTTCATGGCTTTGCCAAAAATTGAAACCTTCGAAGAAATAATTTTGAAGCTAAGACAGCAGATTACAGGGATTCAAAAATATTACTTTATAGTCCGAGAATTGCTCTATTTGATCCATACTCAACCCCTTTCGGAACTTTGGAACGAAATTTTCGAAATTTAGCCTAACTTTGAGCAGATAAAATTGACAGGTGGAGAATTTTGGCAATTACCAAAAAAAGCGTACAAGATTATGGTTCGAAAATCTATCAGTAAGAAAGAGAAGGAAAAGCTGCATCGAATGCACGTTGAAACTCATTCAGGTCTTTATTGCGCGTGGTTTTATAGTGTTTGAAAAAACGGACAAAACTTTCGGGACAACCTAATATGATAAAAAATAGCAAGGCGTTAGCAGCACTTTTTGCATCGGCTGTAAATTGATGTGTCTTGATCCAAGTACCTCCATTTTGAGGCCACGTTTCGCCCGCATAATGAAAGAAATTTAAAAATCAGAGAATTTTCCTTGTTCTCTTCTTTTTATGGGTTGCATTTCCTTCAATATATCTTCAGTGGTTGGTCAGTTATGAGCGCTAAAAGTTAGCTTATTGTTTGAGGGCAACGTTCGGTCAGATGTGAAAACTTAGGCCTAAGGCATACTTCGCGCGATTCCTGTCGCTGCGCGATTTAGCACAACAGCGACTCTTCGTTATTCAGCGTTAATGCGCTGCCTTTGGTCAGAACTTGTTGCTATTTGCAACAACTAACAACAAGCTACCCAAATATGCGTTCGAGAAGCGAGCACGATAGATTTGTACAAATCTGGCAAATAGCCAAGTCGCGTGAAAGTGGCGATAAGGCCGAATCGCGTGAGGTACGCCTTAGGCCTTAGGCCCCGGGCAGACTTCACGCGATTTGATCGTCGCGACTGAGTCGCGACGAGACAACTGTTACAACATCATTCCATGCCGATCAACTTGCATTCGGTTGTGATACTTTTCCAGCCCGACATTTTTGAATGTGAAATGAAAATGAATGGAAATGTTGGCGATTAGATCGCGACGATTAAGTCGCGTGAAGTCTGTCCGGGGCCTTAGAGTACAAGTTTGCCCGCTCTGATAAAGCTCGCGTAAGTGGCACTGCAATTTGCTTCTGAAGCGAGAAAACCGCTCCAGAAGTGGTAACTGGGGCTGACCCGGCGACCGGGACGAGTTAGTTTGATAGGGCAGAGTGCGCATATCGCACATAGTCAAGACGTAGGGTCCCGCAACAACTCTGCGTCTAGCCTTGCGGCAGACGTCTAATTTCCAAATCAGAGCTTCTGGAATAGCTCGTTCTCAACATTTTCGTGCTCTCCAAGCTGCATTTTCGAAGTTAGCGAGAAGCATGAGCCCAAGTAAGCCAAATACACTTTATTTAAAATTTTGCCCGGATGCTGCCTTTGAAAACGCTCCTGCCTCTTAAATGAATTTCCTTAGTTCGGATATCCACATATGACATTTTCAACAACTTTAGTATTAGGTTGTCCAGAAATTGATGCCCTAGGTTGTCCAGAAAGTGATGCCCTTTTGGATTCCAACCGCAATAAGTTATACACTTCTCACTTCTAAATAGATTGCAAAGTATCATTCGATAGAGTAAAGCAAGCTCTACAAGACGGCTTTCTTGCTTTTGCAACAGCTCCTATCCACCTCGAGTTTTATAAAAAGTAAAAAGACTCAGCTGTCCGAAAAATCGAGAAAAATCGTAACTCAGTTCATAAAAAT